TTTCAAGCCAGCCTCAGCAATGGCAAGGTGCTAAGCAACTCAGTGAGACCCTGTCTCTAAATAAAATACAAAATAGGGCTGGGGATGTGGCTCAGTGGTTGAGTGCCCTTGAGTTCAATCCCTACACCCCCCCCCCCGAAAAAAAAAAGATACAAATTACAATTAATGCTGGTGAGAATGTGGGGGAAAAGGAACTATACACTATTGGTGGAAATGTAAATTAATACAGCCACTATAGAAATCAGTGTGGAGGTTCCTCAAGGGGCTAGGAATGGAACCACCATATGAACCAAGCATACCACTCCTTGGTATTCTCTGAAGTCAGCATACTATAGAGAATGTATGCATACCCATGTTTATAGCAGCACAATTCACAATAGCCAAATCATGGAACCAGCCTAGGTGTCCATCAACAGATAAAAGAATAAAAACAATGTGATATATACACACAATGGTATTCTATTCAGCCATAAAGAAGAATGGAATTAGTCATTTCAGAAAAATAGATGGAACTAGGAAGCATCATGTTAAGCTTAATAAGCCACACTCAGACAGTCAAGGACTGTTATGTTTTCTGTTTTATGTGGAAGTTAGGGAGGATACTGAAATGAGAGAGAAGAGGGAAAGGAGAGAGACACCTCATGAAAATAGAAGGGAGATCAGTAGAGTGAAAGAATGGGATTGGGGAAGAGAGAGGAAGGCGAGGGGAGTTACTGAAATTGATCAAAATGTTATGTGCTTGTATGACTATGCCACAATGAAACCTACTCTCTGGATAATTGCTATGCATCAATAAAAAATGATAGATTTTTAAAAACTTGAGCCAGAAATAAATACCAGTTTTATACACAGGCTATCAGATAATAGCAAAAGAAGCTATTTCTAAATTTTAGAAAAAGGCATTACAAGAGATAAAAATTTAAGTCAATATCCCTCATGAACAAAGACTAAGACAAATCTTTAACATGAATGAATATTTTCACAAAACATTAACAAATCAAGTCTTAGTAATATACAGGGAAAAATCGTGATGATATGGGGATTTATTCAAAGAATGCAAGATTAGATGAAAAATTCAAAACAATAATTATAAATTATCACACTGACAGATTAAAATTAAGAAACCTCATGAATCTCTCAACAGATGGAAATAAAAATTCAACACACTCATTAAGCAAACAAACAAAAAAACCTCTCAGCAAACTAAAAATAAAAGGTTACCTTTATGTAGATAAAAGTCATTTACAGTAAAACCTATAGATAACATCATATTTAATATATAATATTGAATGCCTGCCCTCTAAATTTGGGAAAAATGCAAAGACGATCATGTCTCATAATTTACTGATCAATGTATGAGAGGTCCAAAAAAAAATAACTATACACTGCAAATAATCAAAGGTATAAAGTATGGAAAGGAATACATAAAATTCTTTTTATTTATGGATGACATGATCTTAAGGAGCCAAAACCAAACCAAGCAAACAAGCAAAAGCTTCCTATATAATTAATGAATGTGGGAAGGTCAAAAAATTAAGATCAATCAATTAGTTGCACTTCTGTGTTTTATTATTGAACAATTGTAAAGTAGAATTTGAATATACTGTGAGAACAACACAAAAGTCAAAATACAGAGAGTTAAATTTGATACTATGTGTGCAAAACTCGTACACTCAAATACAGAAAAAAAGGCTAAAAGAAATTAATGAAGACAAACATAAAGTAATAGATAAACATCATCTTCAAGATGGGAAAATGCCATATTTTTAAGTGTTCTGTTATCCCCAAATTGGTTTATATGTTTAATACAGTCCAAAACAAAATTCCAGCAAGCTTTTGTATAGATCTTGACAAGCTGATACTAAAATCTATATGAAAACATATGGTCTCTATAATAATCCTTACATATATCTTAAGTTATGTTAATCAAGATGAAGAGGTATTGGACCAAGGAGGCACAGGTTAATAGAACAGAAGAGGAGATACCAAAATAGACCAGCTGTCATTAAGGCAAAGGAATTTTTTGGCCAAGTTATCAAAATAATTCAAGAAAAAAAGGGAAATATTTTCTATATAATAATGCTGGAGCAACCAGCTATTTGAAAAACAACAACAAAACACTAGACTTTAACATATACCTCACACTATAAAAACGTAATTTGAAATGCATCATAGGCCTAACTACATAAGGAAAAATCTAATTTTTCATAGGAATACAGGACTGTTAATATAGGACAAAGACTGGTAATACAAGACTTAGAAAGTACTAAACATAATAGAAGAAATTCATAAAACAAACTTCATAATTGTTTTAAAAAATTATGTCTATCAAAGAAAAAAGGAATTCATATACTAGGTGAAAATAGTTTCATATTTGACAAATGACTTGTATTAAGAATGTGTTGTTGTGTGTGCACATAGGTGCATGTCCTATAACACATTAGATTAAATAACAAATGACCAAAAAGTGGGCTAAAGGTGTCAAAGGACACTTCTTCACAGAAATAACTAGTAAGTAGTGACCTATAAGCTCATAAAAAGTATTTAATGACACTAATCTCTGAGAAGTACAAATGAAAAATGACATCCTACCACTACTCAGTGGTATGGCTAAAATTTTAAGGTTTTACAAGTCCAAAAGTAGTGAAGAAATAGGGCACTTGCATTGTTAGTGGAGGCGGGAATTGATGCCACCTCTCTGGAAATAGATTTGGCAGGTTCTTATAAAATTAAACATACACCATCCGTCAGTCCCCAGCACTTTCCTATTATAAACCAAGTGCACATGTCACATGTTTACATTAGCTCCATCTTCTATAACACTTGGCTTTGGCTGATTGATACAATTATGCTGTCAATAAAACATATTCTAGATCCAATCCCCTTCCTCTCATCATTTTCATAGAGTACATAGAATGCTTGTTAATGAATCAAAGAAGGATTCATAAATGCAAAGCATGAATGTGAGCTCAGATATCATATCTGAATTCGAGCACTAGCTGGCCCAGAACAGAAGCTAAGTAAAACAAAGCCACCACCCCTCTGGTACCACTGGTGTACAGATCTGAACGGCTCATTGTCTGGCTTTCCTTTCAGGACAGAGCATCTGGTCTGGTGGGTCCACACGTCTTTTGCACCTTGATGGTGTCCATGCTACATTCAGAGCAGGGCTTCTGTGTTAGGATACCTACTCAAGTGACTATGGTGGGCAGACTTGTCCTTTATTTCTATATAGTTTCTATGCTTTGACAATTACTTATTAATTTATATAACCCTCCATGATTGTTCCCCAGAATATAAGTCTCAGAAGAAAATCCCAATAAAATGCTCCATAATTAAGAAATATGGAAACATATTTGAAAATATCCTGCCAATAGTAATCCAACCCACTGCAGATATTCATATCAAATGTTATATATTAAAGACTCTATGAGTCCTGAATTAAAATAACTCCATTGATACTGCTTAACCTCACCTATGATATTTATTTGAAAGCCTTTGTCAAGTAACACCTTTGTCAAGTAACACCTTGTGGAAATAATACTTAAAGATAACGTTTACTGAGCATTTAATACATAGACATATACACTAGTACCTGCTTTGAGGACTTTAAAACAACCTGATGAGGTATTGGCACTCATTCGCCTACTTTAAATATTAAGAAATTGAGACTCAGAGAGATTCAGTGACTTTTCAAGGTCACGGAGTTAAGATGCACAGAAATCACAATTTCAACAGGCTGAAAAGATAATGCATTGCATGATGTAATCCATAATGATTTTTAGTAGTGCTTTCAGGATTTAACATTGAAGAACTGCTAACATCATGTACTTTAGTCTTTAGGCAACTGAGGAGCAGAAGCAATGACTTATCCTGAACAAATCCAGTAAGACTTGAGAGATATACACATTTCAGGCTTTGCCTCTATCTCATGTGTAAAGAAGTGTTCAGGTGCATCCCATTTGTTCATTAGTTTAAAAAAAAAAAAGATTTAGTCCCACTGCAAAATGTAACAATTATAAGCTGTTTTTTAATTTTTATTTTCACTTTTATTATGAATATTATAAGCTTTATCAAACAGTAGGATCCAGGATGTTTCTGAATGACCTCATTGCATGTGTGATGTGAAGACATCATTTCTTTTCTCTCAACCACTGAGAAATATTCTGAAAGGGATTAATTGTCTGGGATACTGTATTAAGGGAGAGACCCCAAAATAATATTCGACAGCCTGTTTTAGAGCAACAGCTCACACAAGAAGGCTTTATAATTTTTATTTATTATGTAAAAATAGGGTAATATTAACATAGGAATCATTTTTACATTATTTTAAGTTTTTTTTTTCATTTTAGCAGTTATAGCTAGTGGTACATTATGAAAACTACTTTAATATTGACACATAGTATGTAAAATGGTAATTTTAAAATTACATTTTTCTGCAAATGAATACTCTATCCCTTAACTACTTGCACACAATTAGATTTGCTGTTTGTGTTTCATTTTTATATATAATTCTATGAATTTTCATAGATACCTAATTGTCTTTTTGTTAGGTGATTTATTTAGGAAAATCTCCAAAAGCATTAAGTCATAAGATATGATCAACTTTATGAAACTTGAACTCTGCTATCAGTGATTTCTAAAAGTATCATTATAATTCACAAACAACATGTGACTCTACCAATTTTATTACATCCTGGTAGCTATGAATATTTTCTTTATTTTTCACTTTTTATGATGGAATAGGTATAAAACTGAGCCTCATGATTGTATGGATTTTTGGAGCAACAATTTGGGTACAAAGGTACTAACATTAATCAGAAAAAAAATAATTTGAGTATCTTCACAAAGATGGAAATTTTGCTTGAGTTCTCATTCAAACTTTGATTCATTACTATGCGTCAGAGGCCATGCTAGGAGCTCTCAGTGTCTCCCGTTTTCCTATTCACCACTTGTTACATTTGGACTTCACAGATCCATCTGCTGAGTGCATCCATTACCTTTCTGCTTCACCTTGGCTGCTCTGTCAACTTCCCCTTTGGCATTTCTAGCATGACAGACATAGTCGCGCTTGAGATCTTCAGGAGTAACTTTCTTGATGCTCAAAATCTGAGTTCTTGTTTCATCTTCTGTTTTAGTATAACTTACGCTAGACACAAGGAAACGAAAACCAAAGCATTCGTGAGACTCGGGGGCCATTATGCTCTGTGGATCAGACAAATAAGCACCCACAGAGCCCCTACCCAGGTGAGGGCAGAAAGAATGCTGATGAGCAGTGTTACTTGCAATGCAGTGACCATAAAAGGGAAAGAGCTAGATATCAACAAGCTCTTCACCATCTGCACACTATCCTAATGTCTAGATCAAATCCCAATGCTATCTTCTTGCTAGAGCTTTTTCTTCAAAGCCAACTGTCTCCTTCACTCAAATTTCTGAGGCAGGATGCTGTACTGATTTAGAAAGAATCTTCTGGGATCAAACCTATTTGAGTTTTGATCCAGGTTTTGTCATTTAGTGCTATAAACTTCGGGCAATATGGCTAATCTTTCATGCGGTGTGCTCCAGTTTTGAAATAGGGAGGTAGTAATTCCTACAAGGTGTATTATATGAATTAACTTACTGAAGAATTCTGAGAGCTGATTATATTAATGCTTAAGTATTAAAAGAATAATAGCTTAATAAATGTTCGTTGAAGACTATTATCATTATCCTACAGTAGTAGATGCTGTACTTTGGTGACTCCAAAAGCTTGGATTCTGAACAAAGGTAGAATATTTGGATGAAGATACGGAAATCTCATGGTTAAATCCTAACAGATAAAGGGAGGATCTGCTCAGAGAAAGAAAACTTTGTGAAATTAAATATGTTCAAACCTCAGTAAATGAAAGACCAAGTATTTTGGGTCTAAGATCAAGATTTAAAATTGTTTTGTACTCCATTCCTTTAAGAGGAAAAATATGTATCTCCTATAGCAACTGCCATACAGGTTCTCCTTTGGATGAGGCTTACTGTCTGTCAGTCAGGAAAACTGATTCTGTTTGGTTCAGTCCAAATTTAACTCCCCTGCTATTCTGAGCACTGGGAATGTGTTTCAGTAGCAGCAAGAAGGAACAGGCATGACTTCATTGCTACTCATTCATTATTATTATGAAGATGGGAAACATGATGTTCAGAATTCCTGAAATCATTATTATTATGAAGATGGGAAACATGATGTTCAGAATTCCTGAAATGATCAATAATAATTCTCCCTTGGAGCCTCTAGCCACATCTTTCATCAATTCCTTCTGAAAAAAAAAACAAAACAAAAAACAGCTCAATTTCAGAAAGCTCCTTTTGTGCCTTTCAATATGCTCTGCTTCTCTAACCTCCAGGCCTTTAAGCAGGATGTTCCTTTTACTAGGAACATTCTTTTCATTTCTTTAACTAGAAAAATTTCTATTCATCCTTCAAATATTGATTTTGGTACTGTATCATCCGAGAAGCATTACATAATCTCCTTAAACTGACTGACTCTCCTATTAAATCCTCCCATAACATCCAATGTATCTCAGTCACTGCATTTATCACGTTGTATTGAAAATATTGCTCTATCATTGTTACTCCTACCGTACCTGCTGCGAAGTAGACATTTTATGATTTTTGCACAAAATTTGAATTGACTGTTAGGAGAAAACATAGATTTAGAATTCTAGAAATTCAAGTGGCTTAAGGTCTATTTGCACATAAGTGATAAAGCTTAAGGTCTTGAAACTACTTTGCCACATAGTTGATCAGCTAATCTCATTGCTAGCTGCAGTGAACTAGTTGCTCTTTGGCAATGGTATACTTTATTTACAGAGAAGTCTTCTGTCTTCAATACTTTTTTCTTTTCCATCTCCCTTAAAAATCAGGTAATTTTAAGGGTAAAGTGACCCAGGTTGTTATTTTATGAGTGAGCTATATTGTTACCCATTCACTTTTAAAACAAAACTTCATGAACATTTATTTGTTTATTCAATATTTTCAAAGTAAATATGAAGCATTTGAGGGGGAGAAAGACAGGGTATGCATATTCAAGGCCCTACAAGAGCTAACCCATAATTATCTGAGGCATAAGTACATGGGCGCATACAGGATTGAGAAAAAGAAAACAACTACTTTCATGTATATTCAATCTTATTTTGTAAGCTTTCCATTCATGTAGAATGTACATTCCATCTAATTCCAATTGACATCATAAATGTATGAATCCTGTAGGGCTTAAGAAGCTGTATGGTACATGCTGGCAAACTATGATAAAGATGCCTAGCCTCAGGTTATTCTAAGTCAATTCTTGGGTGACATGTCGTCCATGAATGACAAGTCTAGTATCCTTGCTTTGAGATGTAAGTATTAAATATATGAAAATTTTGCTAAATTTTGTTAGTTATAGGCAAAAATGAGAAATTTTACTTTTATTAACTAAGATAATTCATAGTGCCTTTGACTGATGGACAAAGATTAATCACCCCTTACATCCCATGATACCTTTCATCAATGGTTATGTCAATAGTGATGTCATCAGGTTTTTTCCCATCAATGGTCCACCAAACCTCATTGTGAGAGTCCTTAATGAATGTAAAAAAGACTCTACAGGGGATGAGTAGCTCCTCTCCTTAAAAAAAAAAAGAAAGAAAAAAGAAAGAAAGAAAAAAACAGCAGATAAACTTAATCTGTGTTAATACATCATTTTCAACTTTCACATGACTCCATTGGTCTAATTCTCTAGTGGACTATCTTAATGCAACCTGCGATACTTCATTACAAAAAATAATAATAAAATAGAAGACAAAAATCAATAAAAGAAGGTCAACAGCTTTATTTAAAATTACTAGAATGGCCACATTTAATGCAATGTACATATTCTGTAAGTGACATTGTTTATTCAAAAAGGCTTTGGCAATATCTTTTTAGTCTTAAATCTCTATGGACTGCTCCTCTTTCCTGTTATTTCTCTCATAAACAAAGGGTGACCAAGAAAAGACTCCCCAGATCTTTGGTTGTTGTCCAAGAAAGATGGAGAAAATGAAGAGAATTGACCACAAATTCCTCATTTTGAAACACTCAAGATATTGGGGTGCATTCAATAAACTTACAGGCAATTTAAAAATAGAAGTTCCAAAGTATCCTTCTGAGATGGAAAAATGAGATTAGGGAGAACCCCAGACAGAGAGAAGAGTAGTTAACAGTAACAGCAGCAACAATCTACACACTGGAATTTTGCACAAGTAATTGTGCTAAATATTTATACCAATCAAGGTTATTTAATCTTAAGGATATACTCATGTTTTACAGAAGCAAAAACTGAATCTTAGAGACAGTTATAGTGTGGATCTTAAATGTAACACAAATCTCATATGCTAAAGGCTTAGTCCCCAGCTGTAGGCACTTTTGGGAGGTGGTAGAACCTTTAGGAGTTGGAGGCATGCCCTTGAAGGGTACATGGGGACCCCTGCCCTCCCCTTGCTTTCTGGCCATCTTTGGTTTACCACACATTTACCACCAAGATGTTCTACTTTACCACAGGCCTGGAAACAAGAGAGCCAGCTCTCCATGGACTGAAACCTCTGAAACTTAGCCCAAATAAACCAATCCTCCTTTAAAGTTGTTGTTTTAGGTATTATGTCACAGCAACAGAAAACTACCTAACACATAAATGATAAAAGACATTTCTAGGTCAAATTATTTTAAGTATTAGGCCAGAATTTGACCTAAACTGGATTTCCCATCTTAGCTTGCTAAGAAGAATACTCTTTTATGCCTGGATTCCTGGTGAGTTATTAATAGTGACTATTTTCACTCTCAGAAAGTGTCAGGTTTAGAGGATAGGTTATCTGATCACCCTGATTTGTACTTAGGTTGATCTAACTTTGGGATCATATTCTATTCTCCTTTCTGATGTATAGTCCGTATGTCTTTCTCCTCCAGTTTCCTAGATCAATAAAGTGATAAAATGAACATCAAATCCAGAATTGTTTTTGTAAACATGATATTATAAGTAGATGAAACCATATTTTAGTGATTAATAGGAATTTACCCTGACAGTGGGAAGAATGTTCATATTATTATACAAAGCCAAAGCTAATTCCAGGAAATTCAGCTTATTTGAGGTTGGCAGATCCCATAATGTAATCTCTAAATAAGGCAAACAACTTTTGCAAACTCATTTTAATTTTTTTTGGTATTGCTGTTCTCCATTCATGCTGATCAGTGACTGTATTATCTTTAGCACATTTTATTCACATTCTCTTTCATATTGCATACAGAATGAATTTATTATAAATGATACTATATAGAAAATGTTAAAGTTTTTCTATAGTTTTCTATTCACTTAACTTGGGAAATGTTGAGTAAGAAGAACATAAATTATTTCTTATTTAGATAGTTATCAGCAGTTTTTTTTTTCTAGCATGAAAAATTATAAAAATAGGAGAGCAAGAGAGCCATAGTAAACATTCTGTGGTGTTCTGAATCTAGGTGTATTAGCTCTATCGATTTAGACCTATGAGAGCCACGATCCTGTATCCAAGTTTCATCCTCTGCCCTTTTTAGAGTGGAGCAGAAGCTTGAAGGATGTCCTATGTTCTTGTTACATCCTCAGTAAGCCAAAGCCTTGTGCAAAGTCAAGTTTGCATCACACAAAAATCACCAATCAGCAGCGGAAAACTGCTAGCAGAAGAAGGGAGCAGATGCTGAGAGAGAAGCAAAGATTCCCCGAGCTGCCCTTGAGATCAGTGAAGTAGGTGATCCCCAGAACTGCCAACATTTCAGTTCAAATTCATGTATTTATGTATAGTAGTCCTTATTGTCTTGTACTAAAGTTTCCTTTTATTTTTTTGTAATTAAGAGAATCTCAGTGAATTTTAGAGGCATAGCTATAATTACCTGGTTCTTTCTCATAGACCACACGATCATTGGGTGAATAGATCTGGGGGGGTAGTGCATCTGTTGGAGAGCCTGTGATGGACGGAAAATAAAATAAAGAAAAAAAAGAGAGATAGTATTAAATCCTGCAGCCTTATTCCAAAATCTGTGAAGCCTTTCCAATTTTCCTGGTACAATTTTTCAATTCTTAAGAAGGCATATAGTTTTAGTCTAATATGAACTCAATTACTACATTTCATTTAAAACAAGCAAAGTGTAACATAATAGGGAATATGTATTTGGTCTCTGTTACCAATTCCTGATACAGCATTCCTAAAACCTTTGTAATATTTTAGTGTTTATAGGTAATATGAGCATCATTTGTCTTTGTCTCCAGTTATTTGATGTAAGTCCCCAGTACCTGACCCAAGAACTTGTAAGATTCTTGGTGTATTTGGAGTGAGATATATTTTTGTATGTTAGTGTGATGACTCATGGTGTAAGTCCTTAGATAACTTCAGAGCAAGAGATATTCCCAGCCAAGATTAAAAAGCTAAAACTTTCAGCCCCAATTCCCAACGTGCAGGAAGAAGACAAGGGCTGGAGATTGAATAAATCACTGATGGCCAATGATTAAGTCAATCATGTCTATATAATGAAACCTGCATAAAATCCCTAAGCAGTGAGGTTTGGAGAGCCTCCTAGTTAGTAAATACATCCATATGTGAGGTTGGAAAGTGGATGGTATACTCCAATACCATGGAGACAGAAGCTCCTTCGCTCAGGATCCTTCAAATCTTGCCCTATATATGTCTTTACCTGCTGTTCATTTGAATCCTTTTAAATAAACTAGTAAATATAAGTAAAGTGATCACTGTGAGCCATTACATAAGATCACGGAACCAGAGGAGGACATTGTGGGAATCCTCAGTGTGTAAGCAAGTAGGACTCTAGCATGGGGGATTTGGGGACACACTGCTCGAAACTGGCTTCTGATGAGGGACTGAGGCAGTTCTGAGGGACTGAACCTTAACCTGTGGGGTCTGTCCTAGCTCCAAGTAGTTAGTATCAAACAGAATTAAATTGTAGGAAGCACAGATGGTGTCCACAGAGAATTGGAGAACTGCTTGGTGTGGAAAACTCACACGTTTAGTCACAGAAGTGTTGCCAATAGAAACAGGTTTTCCTTTACAAAGAAACAAATACACATATTGAGTTTCCTCCATATTTCAGGATACAAGGTTTAAACAGTGTTCTTGACTTCTGAGGCTTACGTGAGATACGTTTCCATACTACATTACAATTAACTGCTTTTACGTCTTTATGATTTCTTCTCTATATATTTCCTTTTCTTTTTGAAATGCCAAATTAATTTTAGATCAAAAATATGTCATGATAGTAGTATATATTTTCAATTTGTAATCCATGATTATTAGTTATGGTTATTATCTAAATATTTCTCCTCAAAATGCTCAGTGTCTAACATAGGACCTAGTTAAATAAATATAATATGAATGCAGAGATCAGCAGAAATTAAAAAAAAATTAATGATAGCCCATATGTCTAAGTAATAATGAGATATCAGATAAATGTTGGGAGTACATAAATGTTGGGAGTACTACTTTTTATAATAATCTATATTCATAAGTTGAAAGAAAACTACCGTGGAGGTGGTTTTAAGGGTCAAAGATTCAGTGGCCACATCCTGGCCATGTCACATGCTAGCTCTATGAAGACAAATTTTTATTAATCTTTGAAAGCAAGTTTTCCTTAACTAAGGATAAATAAAACTTACCTCAGAGTTTCAGTTTGAGGAATAAATTTAAAAATATAAATTAAGTAATCTCCTAGTGATATATAATAAATATTCAATGTTTTGCAATTTTAAAAAATGAATTTGTGTTGCTTCAATGTTCAGAACCACTTCACCCCTCTAGGTCAAATTTTATATCTATAAATCAGGATGACTAAATACACCTGTTCCCAACTTTCTAAAAACTGACACATTGAAGTACATGTATTAGAAACAACTGCTGAGATGAATATATGCTTAGATAATTAATTCATTTGACTTCTAAAACCCTCTCATGCTGGACTGTAAATTTAGTCTTCCTTTTTGTCCTGAATTAATCCCAACCTCAGAATTATTTCAAAAGTAAACAAAGAAGAAGTGATTAAAAAATTATTTCATTTGAATTTTACTTGCACTTTGTTAAAACCTTTTTTTTTTCTAATTTACAGTGAATCTGGTGTCAGACTAACAGACAAATCCCTGAGCACTGACCTGCATTTAGAATTACTTGTTCCACTTAATGGAGTATCAAAACAGGTCACTTCCAGTTACTGGGACTCAGTGTTTCCCTCTAATACGCCATCATTTTGAGCACAGTAGAGATGGTGGTATTTAGGGCTTAACCCCCAAAGCCACATGATACTAGTTCTCTTGATCTCTGGGTTTGATAGGAGTCTTGACTCTGTCTAGGATCATCCATTTTTCCCCCTATTTCTTACCAACTATTCTCTCAGTGCAAAATAATGGTTGAACACTGCTAGCTAATACCTACGGCAACCAATAACAACAGAAATTTCAATACATAGAAAGACATAGTTTACTTAATTCAAGTAAAACACTTTTTTGATGATAAAATTAATACCATTCAGTAAGTCTCCACTGCTTGCCTGGAACTGCACATATATATGCTATTTCTAATATTCTCAGTTATTTGGAGAGCTAGGTAGTCCTAGAGTATAGATTAGGAGACTGAAATCTTCACCAAAACCAAGTCATGTCGCTATAAAGTAGAGGTGATATAATTTAAACACCAATCTATCTAGTACACTTTCATTCCCATGTGTTTTACTTCATTCACTCACATATTCAGTCAACCAACAATTATTGGATTACTTACAATACACATAGAACTGCAGTAGTGAACAAAAGAAGTCTTTTATTTGTTAAATATAATAAATAATTAATAACCAAAATATGATTATTGCATTTGTCATGTGTACTCAACACAAGTCATGCTTACCTACCACCTTTACAGTCAGAGACCTGGTGAGATGGAAGGTACGCCCATTTTCTGGATACGTGACAACACATGTGTAATTCCCATTATTTGAAATAAAGGGAATGAGAAAGCTCAAGTTCATGCCTCCAGGTAATACATTAATAAAATTCTGTATTTTATAACAACCCTAGAAGAAGAAAAGATGTAACTCGTTAGATACATGCATAGAAAACAAATGAACACAAATGCTCTCATATCTAAATTTGCACAGAGCATTCAAATATCTATGCAGCACTTTTTACAAAACTGTTTTAGTCAAATATCTGGATGATGTTTCTGCAGAGAACATGTGGAATAAATGTCCTTAACATTTCTGCAAAAGAGAAATGAAAATACTAAACTGAGATATGATTTCAAAAGCATAGGCTTCCTATCTCAGAACCCACCATTCAAATTCTCATAGTCTCATGTTTATAGTGAAGCAGGGTTAAGGTTTTTAAAAAATGACTAAGAAAACTTGAGCGACTGCAAGTCCTGCTTAAGAGAACAAGTATAATGTTCTATAGTTTTTCAGTGATTATATTAACTCAGGAATCAAGCCATTGTTATCTGATAAACTAGGCTCCAATTTAAGATGTCTGATTTTGGCATTCTTGGTAACCCTGTAGAATTGCTACATCAGTCATTGCTGCTCTTTTATCCAATTTTCACAATTGACCATCATAGACTCCTGAATCCAAAAACCAAAGCTTTTTTCATCAGCCTTATCTAAGAGTTTATTTCTGCTCCTAACTCATATTTTCATATGAGTTGATGGTTAAATGTTGAGATTGTACTAACTCAAGTCCTGCTTTCTATCTCTCCATCTCGATATATATATGACAATACATGTGTAATTCCCATTATTTGAAATAAAGGGAATGAGAAAGCTCAAGTTCATGCCTCCAGGTGTGTATATATATAATCTTTAAAAAATGACTAAGAAAACTTGAGCAACTGCAATATTATATATATATAATTGAAAAATATATTTTATATATATATATATATATATATATAATTGAAAAACATCCATATATCCTCTGTGGCAGAAATACATGATGAATATTTACTTTTCAAAAAACTTTATTTTTCTTTTAAGCATCAATGATCCATGAATGGTAAAAACGATTAGGTAATCTCTAAGGAACTTTAGATCTTTACATGCTGACAATCTGTTACTGGTGTGTGTGCTCAGTTTCCTGGCCTCACATATTTGATTCTTGTATGCTTGAGGTTTTCTTTCTTCAATTCCTGGAGCATGTATTTTGAAATATGGCAATTTCCCTAAGAGGCACATTTTGCAATTCTGTGCTACAGGAAATGTGTCTTTTAAGGACAGCCCTGAACTTTTGCTTCATGGAGAAGGTCATCAAGAGGAGGCTGATGCTGTCTGTTCAGGTTAGCTTTTCACACTGCAGCTTCTCCTGTTTGACTAAGCACTGCTCCTGGACACTTGTCACGTCAGCAGAAGATTTTAGTACCCTGAGGTTACGCACAAAGTATAAAGCCACAAAGAACCACACTCTGATAACGAGTTTATGTCAGATTGGGTTTAAATGCTACTGGATTTTTGTGGCACCTTTAATTTAAACAGTTCAAAGATATTTTTCTCTCTCATTTGTTAGCTTAGCTGTTCTTAAATTCCTGTGAAGTAGACACATCAGACTGAATATGCTCCAGTTTCACAGAGAGGAAAAAATGAGACAGACAGATAAAGAGATCTCAGAGATAGCACAGTACAGAGCTGAAACCTAGTTCCACACAGCTGAAAAAGGTCTTTCACTGGTTTCTTAACTAAGAATGAGCAACTCTCCCCAGCAGTGAGTTGATGCTATAAAGAATATACTGAAACACGCATTTAACATGCACTGTATTATCTAATTCTTTTTCAAAAAAAGTTAGCAGTGTCCTTATCCCTACTTTATGGATGAGGAAATGGAGTCTATAAGTTATGACAGTCAGTGTCACAGCAGTAGGTAGTGTGAAAATTGGATCTATTTGTTTCAGTTGTAAACTCAAATTTATCTGTTTCAAAGCCATTGCTTTTAATCCCACCTGATACTTGTGTCCTCACTTCATACAGTGGCTCTGCACTTATTCTATGCCTGGGGTCAGCCCCAGTGTTAATAGTTTGATTGGCTCTATCACTTTAATCAGGCTGGTTCCTGCAATTAGTGATAAACTAAAAAAGCAGACTTTTTCAGGATAAAAAGTCAAGCATTATATATGAACTTGTCAATAGCATTTTGTTGGTGGAGTACTGGGGACCAAACTCAAGAGCAACCTGACACTGAGATACATCTTCAATCCCTTTTTAAAATCGATCAACCAACCAACTTCCTTCCTTCCTTTCTCTTTTTTAAGACAGTATCTTGCAAAGTTGGTGATGCTGGCCTCCAACTTGCAATCCTCCTGCCTCAGCCTCCCGAGGTGTTGGAATTACAGGCATACACTACCACACAAGACCCTCAACAGCATTGTATAAGAAGGTGGTGAAAGGAACATTTTATAGCTGTTTTAAAGCTATGACATGTACAGAATTTTAAGAATATAAATGAATAAATGTGTGTATGTGTGGTGGTGGGGGATGTCAAGACATTATTAAATTATAAATGCAAATGAACTTCAGCCTGTAGTGTCTGGTGAATTCTTTTTCTTACAAGTAGCTCCATTTCTAGCACATACTCCTAAGACACACAGATGTTTTTGAACATAGAAATAAATCCTGAAAAACAAAATTCTGCAAATTTTATAATGATTTCAGAAATCAGAAGAAAATGGACATGAACAAAGAGTTGGATATTCAAAGAATACAAAACATACTTCCTTATTTCCAAAAGCAAGAAATGAATTAATGGCAAGTGAATTTCTTCAATGAAGCAAATACTTAGCTAACTAGAAGATAAAGTCCTCCTAATTGACCCATCAGTTCCTCATTCTGCACCCAAAAGAGAGAAGTGCAATAGAAGAGCAACTTTTCAACCACATAACATTTGCTGTAATAACAAACCACAACATACAGGTAAAGAAGAGCACAGGAAATGACTCTGAGATCCTTGGACGGAAATGAAGCCTATGGGGAGAGGAAGGCTGTGATCAAGGGAATGTCACAGTGAAGTAAGTGTTTCCATTCAAGAAACCACAACACACAAAGAATGCACAAAAAAATGTTAAAAACATGTCTCCTAACTCACAGATATTCATAACTTACCGGTATTCATAAGACAATGGAAAGCACAAAGAGGCAGGGAGTACCTGAAGACCAAATTTAAAACACTGAAAAAAAAAAAAAAACATAATGGAGAGGGAAGACTTAGGCTGGTTCTTAAAGGATAAGTAGTATATAAATAGCTACTGGAAGATGGGAAAGAAAAACCCTCCAGACATAGAGAAAAGTGTGAATAACTCTCCTGCAACTCTCCTAGTATTATTTCCCTCCTTGTTAATACTTAAAATTATTTTATTATGATGTTTTGTTTTTATAGAGAATGCCTCCTCCTGTAGAAAACTAACTGCTATAGGGGCCAGGAGGACGTGAAGGAGCACTATTCTCCATGGTCTGCAACTTGCCCAATGTCTGGCACATGGAGCTCAATACATTTGTGTTGCACCATCAAAAATGTGTCTGGAAGAAGCAAAGCTCCAAGACATGTGGAGTAGGTAAGTGGTAGTAAACATGTGGAAGATAAGACATGGGTGGTGGGTTACAGGGTGGATAGGGGAAGTGGGAATAAGAATACAAAGAGTTTAATTAAGATATAAGATCTGAAGAGTCAGGAATAGCTACTGAAGTTTTTGTATCCAAGATTAAGTTGATATAAAATACATTATATTTTGCCATGAAGTGTCAGAAGAGTTCTATAAACCAGTCTTTTCCAATAAACAGAGCTAAGTCATCCAATGTTTATAAATATTTACAAAGTCCTTTCTCTGTGCCAGGCACTATTAGGAACTGGGTGTATAACAGTCAGTAAAAACAGGAGTGGCACTTTCCCTCATGGAATTTTATAGTTCAGCCTAATTCATTAAATTATTCAATCAATTCCTAAGTGCAATATATATTGGCTCAGTTTTGTGCTGTGTGACTGCTATTTAGGGGAAAGAAAAGGAAAAAGAGCTCACTACCTAGTGCAGAAGAGAAAGACAATTGCTACCAGAACAAAGATGAGATATAAATTAAGTTCTATCAAAATAGACAGTAGGTAATTCATTTGGTATGATTCAGACTCAAGGCTTCAGAGACATTTGCTTGAATTGAATTTTATTTAAGTGATGAATCTTGGTCCTCAGAGGATCTAAAAGTATATAAAATAACGTCATGCATATATGTATATGTAGAATTATGAGTGTATAGCTTTAAAAGAGAATATGATGCACAATAACTTCATGCCAAAAATTGAGAATCACTCTATTCTATAGAGACTATAGGGAAAGGAGAGAGAAAGAATCAATCTAGCCAAATTGTCAAACCAAATTGAAGCAAGCATTTAAAAAATAAAGTCTATTACACAGACCTTGGACTAACTTCCCAACAAGACATGCTATGCCAATGAAGAGACTTGGATTGATGCTTTTTAGAAATGTTCTTTCCTGATGGAACTTTGTCAGAAAAAAAAAATCAAAGATTTTCCTAGTTTCTGAGAGCAATCTACAAACAATATCTGACCAGTTTGGATTAATTTCATACCCAAAATGACAAGTGAAGGCAACACACCCATTTTAATGATCACAATGGGTATGAGAACAATCAGTTCTTTAAAAATTAATATCCAGAATGTCTCTCACTCTGCTAAATGGCAGTTGAGAGTATTTCAGCAATTGCCACAAATGTAATATACAAAACACCCAATAAAGCGTTCTCCTGATCCTCAGGGAAGAGGGGAAGTTGACTTTGTTTTCGCTAGTATCTCTCTAACATGAACTTTCAAATATCCAACTACAACAATGAGGAAGAGAATTAATCCAGTAATATGAAAGTGAGGAAGGCTTTCTGTATATTAAAACCCATTTCTTTAAATAAATCTAACAATAAAAAACAACACCAACAGGATCACTTACCTCTGTCCTTCCTGCTAACATGTTTGGAAGTCCCTGTGTGAATAAACAGGCAGTCTCCCATTTATATACATACTGTGTTTCAGAAGT